AATAGTCTGACATAAATTTTGCTAAATTTGCCAAAACTTGTATTCCGGGAGTAAATGATAACTGTTGTATTAGTTGAAAGTTAAATGTGAATAGTCACTTATCAAAACAGTTCCTAACAGCCTGTGCATCGGAACTGAATTTTCGCTATTGTTTGACTATTTCTGGAACAATGTACTTGTATAAAAGACAGTAATAATTAACATGTATGATATGCTTGCTTCTATAGAACAAGTTTCAATGTCTTTATTACTCATTCGAATCGTCTTTTAAACGCCAGAACTTATAAGGCATCCATTGGTTAAAAAGGAAAACGAGAGGGAGTTTGATGCGAATCAGTTATGATCCCACTTCTATTCTGAGCTTGCTGAGGATTTTTTCTGCTTTTGAATTTCAGACACGGCCTACAACTCCTTCACGTAGTCGATCTGATGCATTTTCTCCAAACTCAGATGTCAATGTGTTAAATAGCAGGGAGCTTTTGACAACTCCAAATATTTCAACGTTAAAACGCACTAGCAGCAAACAAGAAAACATTACAGAGAACGGTCAATTTTCTGAAAAACTCATACCCTGGTCCTCACTACCAGCTAACCTCGCAAAGCCAGGGAAGGTAAATTTGTTTCTTTACGTTCTCCTTTAATAATCATGCCATTGTTAATATTAGAACCCAATTTGCTTAAATTTTAGTGCACTATTTCCAAAAGCAGGACTGACTTAAAGGTCTAACATCGAGCGCTCTCAATGAGGCTATTCTCTTCCCTGGATAGATGTAGACTTTAGGTATTGACTGTCACTTCATAAAAATGCAGCAAAGGAAAAATTAATGAATAGTAGTAAGATTAAATGGTTTTGAAGAAGACTTAGAGGACTCAATAGAGAGTCCACATGATCTAAGTGTGCTTACGCTTTCTCATTGTTTTGTCTTTGTAATAAGGGGATCCTTAGAAGGAGAAAGTTAGCTTCTTTAATAGCAGCAGAAGCTCAAGAAGAAGCATTAACAGCAACCAATCTTCTTCACTGCTTTAGGTAAGTTCTATATTGGACTTTGACTCAGTCGTGACATGTCCTACTCCCTACCTTTCTGAGCCGAGGGTCTATTGGAAACAGTCTCTCTACCTTCACTAGGTAGGGGTAAGGTCTGCGTCAACACTACCCTCCATAGACCCTACATGTGGGAATATACTGGGTATGTTGTTGTTGTTGACTCAGTCGTGACATGCCATTGTGCGAGTCAAAGGATTGTTCATGGCCTCAATTGGAATTGCATCAAGTTATTCACCTTCTATTTTCTTGATGCGCTTCGATTTCTTCTTTCCAGAATGTTTGCTGAACTGTGCTCATCTGCATCACCAGAGAGCCCCCATCTCAACTTGGCCAAATTTTTCACACTCAACCAGCTCATGCAACAACCAAATACTAAGACAAATGACCAAATCCTAGATAACTTTGCTTCAAAGTTATCTTTACAAGAGAAGGAGAAAGTGGGAAAGGAAACACGTTCCTTTAATGGTAAAAGTACTCCCAAGTCTATGAAGCCTTTAATCGAAGTTTCTGTCGCTGAAAAGGTAGAGTGGACAAAAGGAGATGGTTCTAGAGGCATGAGAGAGTTAAGAGAGGTTCTATTTAATGAAATACAGTCCTGGTTTCTGAAATTCTTGGAGGAAGCACTTGATGTTGGCTTTCGGCTTGATGAGCAGGATCAGAAAAAGAAAGTGCGCGCTGTACAACAAAAGGATTCAAACAACCAAATTGCTCTTGCATTGTCACAGCTTAAGCATGCGAATGACTGGTTGGACAAGCTAAGATGCAAGTCAACCTTGAATAAAGATGTGGTCGAGACAGTTGATAGATTGAAGCAAAAACTCTATGCATGTTTACTGCTTCATGTGGATTCAGCCGCTTCAGCTCTTGGAAAACCAAGTTTTTAAGAGTTACTGTTCTACTTACATCCTAATGAATTTATGCTGTTGCATGAAGCTATTTAAAAGGGCATTACTTAATAGTAACTAATCAGCTCATGTGACTAAATGTAAACTTAACTATTTCAATGTATTCGAAAAGGATGGAGAAAACAGTTAATTAAGGAGTTACCTGCATTGTTCGTCGTCTTGCCTTTATGTAGCAATACTCGGGTTCAATGGCGTAGCAGGACTTTGTGCAAAGATGTTTGCCTCTTTCTATCTATAGTTTCCCACTACAGAGGTTTGGATGAACTCCGTTAGGACTCCGCGACTGATTAGACGTTGAATTTGAATAATTAGTAGCAAGGCAAAGGGGGTATTTAAGCTGGAGGATCGGGGCACATGCAAAATTCTCAGAAGATCGAAGGTCAGCGTAATCCAGCAAGTGCCCTGCTTCTCCAGCTTAAATAGCCAGCGCTTTCATACATGTTGTAACAAGTTGCTAATGTTTTTCATGAACTTAAACATCAGCTTTCGCCTGAGGAATGGTGGAGTATCAAGCAACCTTTTTGTTTCTTATGCTGTTTGCTTTATTAAGCTTTTGGCAATGCACACATACGAGCAATTACTTGAATAAATAGCATTAAGCAATGCGTCCCACTAAGAATTCTTTTGTGGTTGGATGGATGGTTGGTTGATCTTTTTTCCTGTTTCCTTTTCTTTTCGCTTTGGATCTAGTGTATTGTATATACTGTCTTCTTATAATCCAGAAGGCTAAGCAGCAGAATGGTTCTTTTATGGTTTGGTGACTGTTGAGCCAAAAAGGAAAAGTATATTGCTGAGCAGATAGTCTACTGTTAAAAACGAGCTGTTGTACCATAAAGAGTACAAAGGCAGGCAACCCACCACGTTGGACTACAAAATCATCAAATGTACTAAAGCAATTAAGATACAGGAAAAAATATTCTCTCTATAGAGGCTGGCCAATTTGATTTTCAAAGTGAGAAGAATGCATCTAAACAGATAAACCTTGAACAAGAAAAAAACTTTCTTTCTAGCAAACATCATCATCACTTTTATTTGCAAGCTAGCAACTGCCTAGTGGCTTGCTATAATACCATACTTGGTCAACAAATGTTTATGTTGTTAGATAACTGCGTTTAGTGACAAAGAAACAAAACAATATCTGTTAGATAAAATTGCTTTTCCGGTCAAAATCAAAAACACAAAAAAAACGTTTTAATAGTTGAAATCTGTAGAGTATTTTTTGTTTTTTATGTCTTTTGGGAACGAAATAAGTCAACTTGCTTGGGATTAAGGCGTAGTTATTGTTGTTAAGCATCTATGGAGATGGAATCTATGTAGAAGTAGATTTAAGTAGGACATGAATAGGGAGCTAATTGATTACCATCATATGATGCTAACGTCACAAAATGGTTGATATCATTTAATCATTCTATACACTTTCTACGATCGCAAAACAAAATTATACTAGAATTGCTAGAAAAGGCACATGCAACACATTAGTTTTCTATATATAAGGAAAACTAAGTCCCTTGTGCAATATCAACAACAAACAACAACATTAACAAACTCACTAATTTCCCAAAAGTGGGTTGTGGGAAGGGTAAGATGTACCCTCAATAAATGCCAAATCTAGGGGGATTTAAATTTATAGGACTTTTGAACACTTAAAGCAATTTATAAGACAAAAGTGTTAAGATTGGTGTAAAAAGGACACTTTTATTATTAGTGTTTAATCTTTATAACTAGGTTTAAAAAAAACCCCAAACTTTTACAATTATAACAACTGCCCCAAATGGGGCCCACCCTCTCTAAAAAACAGAAACCCTCCCCAGCTCCCATTCCCGCTCCCAACCCCATTCCTCATTCCCAATTCACAAAAACCTACATTTTTTCTTTTGTTCTTCTTCTGCTTCTTCTTTCTTCTGTTGTGTTCAATCTCTTCTTCTTCTTTCTTTAATCCCGACATTATTTTTCACAGGTCTTCTTCTTTGAGGTTCTTGTTCTTTGTTGAGAAAGATTAGTGAAAAAAGAACAAGAACAATTGAAGATTGACCCTTGCACCATTGATAAACACTTGATCGTGATTTGCTACATTGACATGTGCATTATTTCAAGGGAGATATTCAGTCTATTCGTCACTATTGGGAAGTAAAGATTGATGTTTAATCTTATTTTTTTCGTCTACAGATATCAGGTTTTTGTGATTCTTTAAACATCCGGTGAGATGTTTGACGAGATATTTCAAACATCCAGTGAGATGTTTAAAATATTTTGTGAGATATTTAAAACATTCTGTGAGATGTTTAAAACATCCTTATATAATTGTAGGTAATTGTTTCAAACATCCTGAAAGTCCATTCAGGATGTTTCAAATATCCTCTCAGGATATTTCAAACATCCTAAGTATATTCTCAAGATGTTTTAAATATCTTCTTAGAAAGTTTGAAACATTATTCGGATGTTTGCAAAAAAAATTGATTCTTTATACCAATTCTTTATCTACTTGTGATATTTGCAGGTATTCCATTACAAAATTGTTGATTATATTGTATTGGGAGTTGATTGTCATGGTGAATGGGTGGAGTCTTCTACACGTTTTACTTGGCGTTCGAAGAGTAAAGAGACGGTTCTAATAAAGGTGCATAGAGATGTTACGTATGATGAGTTTGTTGACAAGATTATTGCTGGTTGTGAATTAACTTGTTATCCGAGTGATATGTCCATAACTTACATGCATAGCATTGGTGAAAAGCACACTAAAGTAGCTCCCTTTAAAATAAAGAATTATGATTGTTTGAGCTATTATTTGGAAGATGAAAATAAGCCCATTCTAAGGGTATCTGTGGTTGAAAGATTGGTAGAATTTCCAAATTCACCTCTAATGGAACAACATGATAGTCATGGATTGCATGATATTGAAGAAGATCTTTTGAATAGCGATATTCCAAAAATGGATCCTTTGGATATGGACATACCAGAAACCGAAGAAGAAGAATATGCAAACTTTCCTGGAGTTGAAAGCAACTCACAAGAGGTAGAACCGACAACACAAAGCAGCCACAATTATGAAGATGGCACGAAGTTTTATAAGGGTTTAAGTTTCAAAAACAAGCGCGAGCTAGTTGTGTCATTGAAGCTTGCTTCCTTGAAGGCTCCTTTCAGTTTCAAATCAGTGAAGAGTACTAAATTTATGTACTGCGTCAAATGTGTAGACAATAAATGCAAGTGGTGGTTGCGAACCGTCAAATATATAAGTACTGATAGGTTTTATATTATGAGATACAAGAATGAGCACACATGCGGGTCACAACATCTTACAGAAAAGCATCCACACGCCTCAGCGGATGTCATTGGTGAATACATCCATTCTAAGTTTGAAGAGGGCAAGGGTCCATCTAACAAAGAAATTATGGAAACAGTTCGTTTGGATTTGGGTTATAATGTTAGTTATTGAAAGTGTATGAAGGGAGGTCATATTGCAAAGGCTATGGTAAGGGGGACTCCAGAGCACGGTATGAAATTTTAGATGCGTACCGATACGCGCTTAGGAAGGCAAATGAAGGAAGCAAGACGACACTGAAGCTTGATAACAAAGGGAAGTTTCAGTATTTTTTTGTAGCTTATGAAGCTTGGATTCAGGGATTTTTGTTTATGAGGAAAGTCATAGCTATTGATGGGACATTTTTGAAGGGAAAGTATCGTGGAGTGTTGTTGTCTGCCGTGGCACAAGATTCAGAGAACCATATTTTTCCTGTGGCATTTTGTGTAGTAGAAAAGGAGTGTGATGTCGCATATGAATATTTTTTTGAACAATTGTCTAGCATACACCCCGACAGTGTTGAGTTGTGTATAATTTCTGATAGGCACATAAGCATAGCAAATGGGATCTCAAAATTTTACCCTCAGGCTCATCACGGATTTTGCATGAGGCACTTTGCTGAAAATCTTCGCAAAAATTTTCGTTGCGGAGATTTGCTTCACCATTATTATTCTGCAGCTAAAGCATATAAGATTGATGAGTTCAATGATCATTTTCAACAAATCAAACTTAACGATGTAAGAGTTGCCAAATATCTTGAGGAGGATGTTGGGTTTCACAAATGGAGCAGAGCGCACTTCCCTGGTAACAGGTACGTTAATGTGAACTCCCCTGGTAAAATATCTTTGAAACATCTCTTAAGATGTTTGGCACATCTCTTATGAAACAGGTTACTGGACTTTCCAGTTCAAACATCTAAGAAGGTGTTTCACACATCTTTTAAGATGTTTCAAACATCTCTTAAAATGTTTCATACTTGACATGAAACATGTTACTGCATTCCCATTTCTACAAGATGTTTGACCCTTATTTCTTATATTCCAAATTCTCAAAAAGTCTTATATATCCTTATTTCAGGTATGAAGTATTGACCACAAATATTGCTGAGTCTGTTAATTCAATGTTTCTACTCGAAAGAGAATTCTCCATCACTGCCCTATTCGATGCTATTAATAGGAGGTTTGCTCAAAAATTCCATGAGAGGCGTATGCAGTTCCTCGACACTCCAACCATTTGTGTCCCTTCAGTTGAAAAGAAGATTAATAAAAATGCAACATTTGGCAACAAACTATTGGTCCATCCAATAAGGCAACAAGATTTCAGCATCACCGGCCATGGTGTGGTTGCAAAGGTTGATCTACACAACAGAACATGTTCTTGCAGAGAGTTCGACCTAGACAAAATACCTTGCCCACATGCTATGGCAGCCCTTAGAGTTGAGTTTGGTGATCAATACGGAACAAGCATTTATGACTATACTTCTGACTTTTATTATATAGACACATACGTGAATGCATATGTCATAGAAATTAATCCAGTGCCTTCTGAAGAATGTTGGGATGTTCCTCCGGAGCTTGTTGAGAGAAAAATACCTCCACCTTCATGTGAAATTCAACTGGGAAGAAGGAAGACAAAGCAGATTCCAGCAAGCGGGGAAGTAAAAAAGAAGCAAAACAGATGCTCCATGTGCAAAAGGACTGGCCACAAAAGAACTACTTGCAAGAAGAGAACTGAAGGAACAAGCAACTTCGTTGTGGCTTAATGACATTGTTGTTGTACTTGTTTTGATAGTTTGATGTTGATTTTATTGGAGAACTAAATGATATCTAGATCTGTATAATTAACATTTAATTAATCACAAGATTATTAGGTTGACGATCAACTATTTGAAGTATTAAGTAGGTTGATATTTAATGGTAGTTTGATGTTGATGTTACTACCGTCTAATTTCTTCAAACATCCTGATAGATGTTTGATATCGATTGTCGTTAAATCTACGAGATCAATAGGTTGACGATCAATTATTTGAAGTATTCAATAGGTTGATATTTACTTTTTCGTAATGTCAATAGGTTGATTATCAATTATCAAACCTATTTACTAATCAATTTAATAGGTCGATGTATAATTATCCAAAAGATCAATAAGTGGATGATTAATTATTCGAAGTATTAAATAGGTTGATATTCGCAAGGTCAATAGGTTCACGGTCAACTATTTGATGTATTCAATTATTCTATGTTTAATTATCCACAATATCAATAAGTGGACGATCAGTTATTCAAAGTATTAAATAGGTTGATGTTCGCAAGGTCAATAGGTTCACGATCAATTATTTGAAGTATTCAATAGGTTGACATATAATTATCCATAAGATCAACTCAAGCACCATTTTACCAGTCACAGACCTTTTTCCTTTGGCAATAATTTTCCACAACTCTTCACCATCAAAAAGGTACTTTTGAAGCTTCGAATTCGTGTAAGAATGTCCACAGTTGAGTCCAGTCATTATGGCGAACTCACGAAGGCCGAAGCAAACTGGTAATCTTTTATAATCAAACCATAACTCCTGGTCTTCTCAGACAATACTCTACGGAGTAGAAGGCCATGCACTATAGATGCTTGAAGCAGTGGCCTCTCAGGAAAATCCAAAAAATGCCTGAAAGGACTATTCCTAAACTTGTTTTCGAGGCCTTCATCCTGCAACAACTTTCGGAACTCACCCATACCTGCTAATCCTAATGAGGATCTCACAGTGATCTTCTTGTTGAATGTCTCATTATCATCTAAAAATGTCTTGTACTTTAAGGGTGGAAGTTCCGATCGAAGCTTTACAATTTCAACCTCGCAATTGCCAGACTCATCCTCAGGCATCTCATCCTGTACCTCGCAATGTCGAACAGTCATGTTTAGTGAAACATCCTAGGAAATATTTCAAATATCTAGACATAAACTTCAAACATCCACAGAGATGTTTCAAACATCTAGAGAGATGTTTGAAACGTATTAAGTTTACCTCAATAGATTGAGAAGGTGCATTATCATTCTTTCTCTTTTTTTTTTCTTTCTGTCGCTGCCTCTTTTTCTTTTTCTTCTTCTTCTTCTTCTTCTTCTTCTCTTGAAGCTTCTTCTTCAGTATTTTCTACTGATGCTTCATCATCAATATCTGTCTCCTCTTGTCTTTCATCAATTGTTGTCTCCTCTTTTGATTCTTCTTCCTCAACATTTGTCTTTTCTTCTCTTACTTTCCTTTCTTCCTCTTTTTCTTCCTTTTCTATTTCCTGTTCTTTTTCCTTCTCAATTTCCTCTTCATTTTCGTTCTCTTTTTCTTCTTCCCCAGCATTCCCTCCTTCTACTACCTGAAGAGGTTTGACTTCCATTTCAGCTACAATTGATTTTTGTAGCTCATCCTCTTGAGATGTCTTAATTCTTTTGCTAGATCTTTTGGAAGGAGATTTATCTCTTCCTCTTCCACCTGTCTTTGACACACGTCCCACCCTACGTCCCTTTGCCATTTTATCTGCGCAAAAAACTGGCATGTTTGAAACATCTGGACAAAAAAGCGTTCCACAAATCCAAAATAGAGCAATATAACTGTTTCAACATCACAATAACTAATTTTATGGGCACGTGGAACAACCAATCAACGGCTACAATTAAAAAATATAAAAATACCAAATTTCTGCTAAAAAATATCAACTACACAACAACTCTAGAATTTATGCACAAAAACTACACAACAACAACAAGAAGATACAAAAACACCCAAAAAAATCAATTTAGGGTTGAAATAACAAGTTTAGAGTTTATCAATATGGTAGAAAAAAGAAAGAAAAAAACTTAACTTGATAATGAAATCTCTACTTTAAAGAAAATATGAATGGAATGAAGTCGATTTTTGAAGCCCTATAGTACTCTTGAATTTGGATATTGAATTTGAGAGAAAAATTGAAGAAGTTTGGGGGAAAATCACATGAGTAGTAACGTCTGGTTTGGAAAAAGGAGAGAGACTGATTTGAAAAGTGAGATTAAAAGATTGAGTTTTGTTATTTTGTAATATTTTAAATTTTACCCCAAATTTTTTTTATTTCTAATTTGACCCAAATCACCCCTAATCCTAGTTAACTAGTCAGCCTTTTGTTAATGATAAAGGGTGTCCCAAATACTTCCGCAACGCTTCAAACGTCTTTTAGAACACATTTTTCCCCAAATCTATGCAAAACCCTCTTCTTTCCCCACTTCCCTGAATCCTGTATTACTCTTTTTAATTACTCTTTTTAATTACATAAATCAACTGAAGAAAATTCAAAAACTTCCAATACAACCGAAGATCGGGAACTACATCCATCGATCAACCAACGTAGTAGTCAAGAGTCAAGACGCGTATGATTGGTAATTTGATCTGTCACAGATTTAACGTTTTTTTTTTTTTGCAATTTATTTATGTCAATGTGCTTCGTTTACCTAAATGGTTGAGTATTCTGATGAAATGGGTCCCACTAGAACGAAATTGATATAGAGGATTCAAATACTAGTATTCATACAGTTCGATCGGGACTGAAATCGCCTGTTAATTGTTTTTTTTTTTTCACATTCGATCTTCTTAATCATCTTTTTTATTTTAATTTAAATTTTATGGAACTTCTGTAAGTGAATCTTATTGCATATGTGAAATGTTAGGTTACATTTGCAAAGGTGTTTTTGTTCTATAGATAATTATTCTGCAATTTTTTTCCTTAATGATGGTGGTATCTGGGCCAGATTGTGGGCACCCTGCCTATTTCATCATGTACCAGCTATAGGCAGATTGGATGAAATTACCTAGTATTTTTTTGCCTCTGTTGGGATTTGAACTTGAGACTTGATGGTTCTCCTGCGACTTCATTGATCACTAGCCAGACCCTTGGGTGCTTCAATTGTTATGCAACTAATTTCACAATGTTGTACATCTTGAATTATGTACTTTACTACGCCTGATTCTAAGTTGCTCGGACACAGGTGCGGATCTAGAGGTCGGATCCTTCGAGATGTAAATTCTAAGATTTGGGGATACAGATCCTAGTACGGATATGGGTGCGGTGATCCGGCTAAAAATAATTCGAAAAAATAAAAATACAAAAATATCTCTAAGTTATGAGAAATTTTGTAGTGTGAATTTCTTTTTTATTCTCAAGTTATAGATAAGTAAAGGATTAATTTCCTAGATATGGTATGTTATTTCTTCAAATTTACCCTAGTTTTGGTTCTGATTTCGGGAATCAAATTGTATCTCGTCCCAAATTTTTTCATCCGCCGTGGTCAAAGTACCCAAAATTGTTTGACCAAATCCGGTATGGATCCCATACCCACACCCCATACTAGTGTCGTGTCGAGATGGGTGTGACACCTAAACTGTCGTGTCAGAGCAACTTAGCGCCTAAATCCCAACGATTTGGGATCAGCTTTATGAATTATGTATATTTATTTTGCTCTAAAGGAAATGCTATATAGCTGAGCCGGTTTCTGTAGAAGAAGAAAGCAAAAGGCATGGAAGTTCGCTCCGTTAGCTCTCATGTGGATAGTTTGGGGGGAGAGAAATAGGAGAGCTTGGGGGGATTGAGTCTCCTTTTTCACATCTTAAGAATAGTCTTTTATATTTGATCGCTTTTTGGTGCACTCGTATAGCCCCTATTTGTATAGAAGATTGGGCGTCTTTAATAGAGAATCATGTTCTGATGTAAATTCTCTACTTTTTGGTATACTTCTTGTATACGGGAGTTCTCTTCCTTTTCATTAAAACAATTTACCTTATCAAAATAATTTATTTTGCTTTATGGGGACTCACTTCATTCCAACACTAAGTAATTTGTCTTCCAAAGCAAAGTAGAGGTTCTCTAAATTCTAGGCAAAACTGGACCTAGTGTAAATCTAATGACAGCAACTAAGTTTTTATCCCAATTAGTTGGTGCCGAATTATGCATTTTTTGTCTCTTGAGTAATATTTGAGGAATATAGCTCATTTTAGTAGGTCTTTGATAAGTTCAAAGAGGAAACTGTTTTGGGGGTGAATCCTTTTTATGAAATTTTAAATAGCTTCAACTTGCCACGGGTCAAGGTGACCTCTTAAGTTCTGCAATGGATTTGCTTTCTCGAAAATTTGAATTCATTATACCTTGTTCTTTTCTATAGTTAAGTTACACAAAGGGCGATAGGGGCAGGGAAAGCTGCTTCATTTTGGGGCAGGTCATTGACACGCTCATAGGTTAATGGAACGTTGCAATCAGCAGGGTATAATGCATAAGTTATTATCATATATGGGAGTATGTTATATAAGGTGGGAATGATAGGATATTAGAAAATTATTGGACTACACCAGTGCAAAGTCGTAGGGAGTGTTAAATATCTCTAGAAGTCCTAATCTGAAGTTCTGAACAACATAATTTTTCAACTTACTCTGCTCATTTGAATCATTATATCAATTTGATCTCAATCGCCTCTAATTCCCTTAGGAATATCAAATTTTCTGTTCAGTATTCATACACTATACATTTTAGATGATTTTATCTTGCATTGAAGAGTTTGATAAATTTTAATAGAATGCCTTCAAAGTCATACATCTTTGCTAACTTTGAATGGTTTAGTTGGATTAACATAGTACAAAGTCATTGGATTGAAGTTATAGTCTCTAAATGAGAGCAAAAGTCATTGGATTCCAAGAGATAAAGTAAAAGAATAAAATGCATCTTAGAGAAGCTACTTGCTATCTTTTTACTCTTGCACAAG